CTGGATTAAAGAGAGCTCCAGTCAAATTCAGAACAGCCATTCTTATTATTATAATGCCCTATTCTAATGATTGTACATAGTTGAATTGCCAATTTATGTATGCTAGTTAAAAATCCCACTTTTTCTTTGCAACTGTTCAAAAGGAAGACCCCAAGAGCATAAAATTATGTGACCGTGTTGATTTATTTAAGGATTATGTACTTCATTTTTCAATAGTAAAAATTCCTGGAGTTGTTTAAAATCAATAAAGAAAGAGGGAAAGAGGGAGAATCATAGAGTTGGAAGAGACCTCATGGGCCATCCAGTCCAACCCCCTGCCAAGAAGCAGAAAAAGCATATTCAAAGCACCCCCAACAGATGGCCATCCAACCTCTGCTTAAAAGCCTCCAAAGAAGGAGCCTCCACCCACTCTAGGGCAGAAAGGTTCCACTGCTGAACAGTTCTCACAGTCAGGAAGTTCTTCCTAATGTTCAGCTGGAATCTCCTTCCTTGTAGTTTGAAGCCATTGTTCCACATCCTAGTCTCCAGGGCAGCAGAAAACAAACTTTCTCCCTCCTCCCTATGACTTCCCCTCACATATTGTACATAGCCATAATGTCTTCTCTCATTCTTCTCTTCTGCAGGCTAAACTTGCCCAGCTCTTTAAGCTGCTCCTCATAGGGCTTGTTCCCCAGACACTTGATTATTTTAATCGCCCTCCTCTGGACACATTCCAGCTTGTTAACATCTCCCTTAAAATTGTGGTGCCCAGAACTGGACACAGTATTCTAGGTGAGGTCTGACCAAGGCAGAATAGACGGGTAGCATGACTTCCCTGTATTTAGATGCAGGCCAAAATCTCATTGGCTTTTTTAGCTGCCACATGACATTGATGGCTCATGTTCAACTTGTTGTCCATGAGGACTCCAATATCTTTTTCACTCATATTAAAGATGAAGAGCTGGCGTTGTCTGTAGACACCTCCAAGGTCATGTGGCCAGCATGACTGCATGGAGCACCGTAGCCTTCCTGCCGGAGTGGTACCTATTGATCTACTCACATTTCCATGTTTTCGAACTGCTAAGTTGGCAGAAGCTGGGGCTAACAGCGGCAGCTTACCCCGCTCCCCGGACTTGAACCGGCGACCTTTCGGACAGCAAGTTCAGCAGTTTAACCCACTGCACCACCAGTTAATAGTAAAAAGCTAAGCTTCCCATGATTTGGTGATAGCCATTCATAAATAACTGGAAGTTAATCATCACTGAAATCTTCCTTTCTGGTGCAAACAATTCGTATGGAGCTATGCTGAAATAAATGCAATTCTGATTCAGAGCCAAATGTGCGATTTGTGTGTTACATCAACAGAAGGGCGAGAACATAACAGTCAGGAAGTTACTATATAATGAATTAACAGGAAGTAGCTTAACATGCAAAGGGGAAACAGTTTAATTTTGAAAATGGTCAAATCAGCAATTCAAGAGAAAAACAGGTTATGGCCTTGTTCCTGGAAATGAAGAATGAGGGTTTTTTCCCCCTCGTTCTTTTGTTTCTTCCTTCTATTAAATGCTTTAATAGAAGAAAAATTCCAAATACTATCTCTTGCCTAAAAAAGACACAATTCAAACTACTCTTAAAGTGACAAAACAATTAGTTTCTTCATCTTTCACATGCTCAGGCACTCAGATCAAAACTTCATAAAGCAACTTCTATTTTGGTACTCAGGTAAAAGTGTTATCAATAATCAAAACCACTTTTTCTCATGAATATTAAGTAACAACATGTCTCTGTCTGGGAGGCAACATCTGCTGACATTTATGTGCAAGAAACATTTCTAGGGAGGTAAAATCTGTCCCATATTAAACTACAGCAGGTCCGTGGAATCTGCTGGAGTCTTGTTCCAGGATTCTGTGGATGCCAAAATCCTTAAATGCTCAATTCTCATTATATACAACTAAATAGTCAAATTCTTCCCCTTATATAAAGTGGCAAAATCAATGCTTGATTTCGGATATTTTTTTCTTCAAGTTGCTTTTGGTGAAAGAGAATTGGCCATCTGCAAGGTTGCCCAAGGAACACCTGGATGCTTTACTATCCTGTGGGAGGCTTCCCGCATGAGAAGCTGGAGCTGACAGATGGGAGCTCACCCCACTCTCCAGATTCAAATTGTCAACCTTTTGGTCAGCAGTCCTGCCGACACAAGGATTTAACCAATTGCGCCACGGGGCCTCCTAATCAATGTCTGAACCCATGTAATATAGAATCTGTGAATATGGAGATCTAACTATATACATTTTTATGAAAGGAGTCTCATGTTTAGCAACATAGTAAGGCCTCATATCTGCAAGAGATACATTCCTGGAGTTATATGAGGCCACACATCGTAGCCCTATTGAAATGATTGATTTCTGGTGTAAGCATACCATAATAGAATCATTTTAGGACATAAAAATGTCTGAGAAAACATATCTATATCATTTCAAGGTCCTCCATCATGATTCCATGGTCAGATTCAAGGGGGGAAGCATACTTAGAGAAGAATACAACCCCAACCATATATACCCAGCATTGTCCTGGTATAGTTGGGACCTCTTCCTATCTACTTTCTCCCTTCTCCAGCTCTGAGATGGCCAACCTCACAAGGTCTCCATCGGAAAATTTTGACATCAATGGGCAAGCTCTTTGTGGTTCTTTCCTTCCCCAATCCCTTCCCCTTCTACACATGTCACATTTCTTTCCCAGTGACATCACAGAGGGCCACTTCACCCAGCAACTCCAAACACTTCACCTAACTAAGACCAATCCAGGACATCACAGAGGGCCACTTCACCTAGCAACAGCCTTTGTGGTATGAACACATGACCAAAGATACATAAATACTTTTGACTTTTATATACATAGGTATACAGACATATACACATACCCACATGCCTACATTGTATACTGCAAATTAAATGCCACTTAAATTAGATTACCTCTTACAGCTTCCACCTCCCTCAAACATGAGCAACTGCAGTTTTTACGACATTCTTTAGCCTCTTGACACAATCACACTTTCTCCCTCTTATAACTAACACATTATGAGCAAAGATGTTAGTTATAACATGCGGCATTTAAAAAGAAAACGTGGTTCCAACATTAACACCAAAGTCCCAACATTAACACCATAATCCTTTTTCTTTTGACATGACAAGTAATGCTTGTTTTGCAACTGCAGTTTTTATGAGCGAAGATTTCCTTAGCCTCTTCATATAATTACACTCTCACACTTCGAACTAATAAATTATGAACAAAGACGTTACTCACAACATGCTGCTTTTAAAAATAAAAATAAACTATGATTCAACATTAACTCCAGAAGGTTTTAATTTTGACATGACAGGTAACAAACATTATGTTTTTAGAGGGGAAAATTGTGATTCCCCCTCTCAAACACACACGTTTCTAAAATTCTTCTTCCCTGCGCTACAAAGGACATACATGACTGCTGAGCAAGAATAATAGGGTTCTGAAAAGCTTCCTGAAGAACACTAAGAGCCTTGTAAAAAGGGGGGGGGGGGAAGCATATGGCACATCCATCATCCTTGTGCGTTGCTTCCAAGTCAAAGTTTTAAAGCATTATTTCTAAGCACTGCACTTTATTACACTTCTGACTAATAATATAATAATAATAAAACTTTACTTATACTCCACTCCATCTCCCCCAGGGGGACTCAGGGAGGCTTACACGAGGCCACGCTAATCAGTACAATAAACACAATATTACACAAAAGCATAACAAAACCAGAAAATAAGAGCGCATTGCAATGGTCCAATCTAGAGGTAACGAAGGCATGGACCACCGTGGCCAAATCCGACTTCACGAGGTATGGACGCAGCTGGCGCATGAGCTTCAATTGTGCAAAGGCCCTCCCAGCCACCGCCAACGCCTTGAGTCAGCACTGAATCAAGGAGGACACCCAAGCTGCGGACCTGTGATTTCAGGGGGAGTGCAACCCCGTCAAGCACAGGTTGCCACCCTATACCCTGATCCGGCCTACGATTGATCTGGAGGATCTCTGTCTTGTCAAGATTTATCCTCAGCTTATTCGTCCTCATCCAGACCGTCACAGCAGTCAGGCACTCGTCCAGCACCCGAGAGGCTTCCTTGGAATTAGGTGGAAAGGAGTAGAAGAGTTGGGTGTCATCTGCATAGAGATGGCACCGAAATTCAAAACTCATGTAGATGTTAAAAAGCATGGGGGACAGAATGGAACCTTGCGGGACCCCACAGATCAAAGGCCAGGAGTCGGAGCAGGTGTCCCCCAGCTTCACCATCTGGGAAAGACCCTCCAGGAAACGACCAGAGCCACGACAGAGCCGTGCCCCCTGGGACCCATCCTGGAGAGCCGGCCCAGAAGGATACCATGGCATCGAAAGCCGCTGAGATGTCCAAGAGAACCAGCAGGGTCACACTCCCCCTGTCCAGCTCCCTGCGGAGGTCATCCACCAAGGCGACCAACGCCATCTCGGTGCCATGGCCAGGCCTAAACCCAGACTGTGACTGATCTAGAAAATCAGTGTCCTCTAGGAATCCTTGGTAAATATGATTTTAGCCTGGGGTGAGCATTAGGGTTTGATATCCTAGGACATCTGCCAGAGCCTCAGTACCCTGACTGAGATCATTAGCAATGCCATGTGTAACCCTTGACTTTTGATTCTGTGTACCAACACCTTGAGCAACACCAAGCATATGGAATCTGGCCCCAATTTAATTTCTGACAGTACCTTGCAATAATATCACTTTGGGGCATTGCGGGGAATTAAAAAGGTGGTTAGACCCAGCTAGCTACCATAGCTTGAAGCACTGCTATCAAAACCCAACTGAGGAGATGACCCACTGGAGGCTACTCTACCAAATGCTTTCTGAAACCTAGAAATGGTCTTCTTCAAGTCAGTCTGAAAGTGAAGTAAAGATCTGATGAGCCGACACATCCCCAGAGCTATGATTGACATTTTCCCTTTGTGGTTTGTTGGTTACTTACCTCTTTAACATGGGTGTGAAAAGACACAGACATGTCCAGGAGGATCTTGCGCTGCTCGACACGCCGAACAAAATCTTGAATCCGGTCTTCCAACTGATGGGCTGCTTGATAAATCTCTTCAGGGTCGCATTCTCCTGTCTGGGCCAGCTGTTCTGCTGCTTCTAGCAACTTGTCTGCATTGGTATAAGTGTTCTGTGGAAAAAGCAGGAGAGAGGAGTGATGAGTCCAAAAGGATCTATCTGCATATGTGTAGATGTACGACCGCTGCATAAGACACCAGCAGAAAGCACTTTCAGGGCATACAATAAGTCACAGAAGCTTGCCATTTTGTCAAACGTTCACATAACTAACTTGGTTCAATCATTCTAACTTCTTGCAATCACATATGCCAAATTGAATAGTAGTTTAATTCTGAACATCTACAATCATTGCTATCGCTATCAGTCAAACAGTTCCTTTGTACCAATATATTAGTAAAGGAGTGAGGGATTTCAGCATCTAAGCCTGAGTTTCATGTATATATTCAGTTCTGCATTCTGGTACAGAGATTACTGTATCCCAATCAAATTGGTATTTTATCAGCATACTGATATTGTTTGGATAATAAAAAAGCAAAGCAAAACATACCAGCTTAAGCCTCTTGTTTCATAAAATCAAAGAGTTGGAAGAGACCTAATTGACCATTCAGTCCAACCCCCTGCCAAGAAGCAGGAAAATCGCATTCAAAGGACTCCTAACAGCCATCTAGCCTCTGTTTAAAAGCCTCCAAAGGAGCTTCCACCACAGTCTGGGGCAGAGAGTTCCATGGCTGAACAGCTCTCAGAGTCAGGAAGTTCTTCCTAATCTTCAAGTGGAATCTCCTGTAGTTGGAAGTCATTTTTCCGCATTCTAGTCTCTAGGGCAGCACAAATAAGCTTGCTCCTTCCTCCCTATGACTTCTTCCCACATATTTATACATGGCCCTCACCATGTCTCATCTCTGTCTTCTCTTCTTCAGGCTGAACATGCCCAGCCCTTTAAGTCACTCCTCATAGGGCTTGTTCTCCAGATCCTTGATCATTTTAATCACCCTCCTCTGGACACATTCCAGCTTGTCAACGTCTCCCTTAAATTGTGGTGCCCAGAATTGGACCCAGTGTGATTCCAGGTCTAGTCTGACCAAGGCAGAATAGAGGGGTAGCATGACTTCCCTTACTACTTGGGAGGAGAGCAATGATCAGTCTTGATAAAATAGTTAAGAGTAGAGACATCACACTGGCAACCAAGATCCACATAGTTAAAGCAATGGTACTCCCTGTAGTAACCTACAGACGTGAGAGCTGGACCATAGGGAAGGCTGAGCGAAGGAAGATAGATGCTTTTCAACTATGGTGTTGGAGGAAAGTTCTGAGATCCAACCAGTCCATATTTCAGGAAATAAAACCCAACTGCTCATTGGAGGGAAGGATATTAGAGGCAAAGATGAAGTATTTTGGCCACATAGTGAGAAGACAGGAAAGCTTAGAGAAGACAATGATGCTGAAGAAAATGGAAGGAAAAAGGAAGAAGGGTTGACCAAGGGCAAGATGGATGGATGGTATCCTTAAAGTGACTGGATTGACCTTAAAGAAGCTGGGGGTGGTGACGGCCAACAGGGAGCTCTGGCGTGGGCTGGTCCATGAGGTCACGAAGAGTCGGAAGCGACTGAACGAATGAACAACAACAAATGACTTCCTTGCATCTAGACACTATACTCCTTTTTATGCAAGCCAAATACCATTGGCTTTTTTTAGCCACTGCATTACATTGTTGGCTCAAGTTTAACTTGTTATCCATGAGGAGTCCAATATCTTTTTCACACTCTTCCTACCTATCCTGTTCCTTTGTATTCCTTCTTTCCCAAGTCCAATACCATCACAAGACATGTTCCAGATGTCTGGAACCCTGGACATATATTATTTCCTCGGGTTCCAACATCTAGTGAGATATCTTAGGGGCTTGATGAAAATGGTATGTTCTAGGGCTCTTACAAGGGTATCAAAACAATAATTTGAGTATTGTGTTTGGGAGGGAAGAAGCTCAGCAACATTTGGGTAAGTGGCTAATTGGAAAGTGTTCTCTGGCTCTGAATTTCATCAGAAATGGTCTTGGAAGAGAACTCAGGATGTGTAATGTTTGCCTTTTACTGGAAGCAAGAACCGCAAGCTGCTGAGATCCATATTTTGAACCAAGCAACTGCACATTTCAGCAACAAAACTGGGAAGCCTCTTTTCAGTCACATTTCAGAAGCAAAATAATCAGGAAATTATCTAACTACATGCTGTAGCCAAATTTATGTTGGTCAAAATTTTAGTCCATTCTGTTTTAAAACAAGATTCTTAATAGCAATGTTTTACATCCTAAATGACAACCACCTAAAGTAATGCCAAGGATGTTTCTTACTTGTGCCACTTCCTCAAAGTCCTCATGGCGTTTCTGCAGAGCTCTTGCTCGATGTAAGGACTTCCCAACCCCTGTGTGTTTGCTAAGGAAGGCTTCACCATGGTTTTCAATCCAGTCCAGCACCTGCAAAAGAACATTAACAAGAAATAAACCCAACTGTATGCTTCTAATGCATTGTAAATGGTTTCTCCTACGCTTTATAAACATTTCAATTTATTCAGGTGTCTTCTTGTCAATATTTAAAAAAGATATTGAACATCAGCTGCAAAAAGAACAACTAAATAAAAATGCAAGGAGGTCTATCTATTGCAAATATTTCCATTTCAAATTAATTCTGGCTGAGGTCCAACTAGGCCTGGCTCAGCTCTCGGGCAGAATAAGGCAGCACAAAAATTAGCCATTGCCTGGAGGCCACAGTGATCTGCTCTCATGGCACTGATGGTTTTCAAAAAGCTTGTTGAGTGCCAGATTTTGCACAGCCATTGAGAATTTTCACCACTGAACATGGTGAATTAATATCCAATAACAGCTGACCACAATAAAATGTCAGTGGCAGAGGAGCAATCTAATGTTGTTTCTTGGGCATTGGACCTCATACAAAGGGAAGAGATGATTCCCAAAGTGTTCACAAGCCAAGGAAACTAAATGCTTTCTATGGGTCAATGTGGTACTTGCATGTTTTGCAAACATAAGGGCTATCCTAAGGAATCAGAGAAAAAATTCATCTAGCACAACCATCTTTCTCTCACACACACATTTACATAGCAATGAACTATGGAAAATCTAATAAAATAGGGCATGAAAACAATGATCCTCTGCTAGCGTCTCCTGCCTTCCCCAAGAAACTAGTATTTAGAGCTAAACTGCTTTGAAACAATTACAGTCCAGTTCTGTATAATGGTGACCTATCATTAAAAGATTTGTTCTCCACAGGTATGTCTAATCCCTTTTTAGAAATATTCATACCAATGGCCATCACAGCATTTTATAGCCACACATTCAGCAAGGTAAATTTGTATTATTGACTTCCCCCAGACTGGCTTGAAGAAACTGCAGTTCGTGTAGAAAAGACTTCCCAAAGGCATAATGTACTGAAATACGTTTTTTTTTCCTTTTTGAGAAAGCTGACCCTACATTCTTACCATTAATTTGCAAATTTCTAATTGCATCATCTGACAAGGACTCTGCTTTCAATTCACATTAGATCCAAAGGTTTTCATTAATCAGAATCTACTCAATAACTGAACATTCAGGGTTCTGAAGCCAAGGTACACATTACCATACAATTGTAAGTAAGGCAGTAACAAAAGCAAGCTGTTCCCTATTCCACAAATTCTCTACAGATGCATCATTCTGGCAAGCACTAGAGAGCAACTGAAATGCAATTCCTTAAAAGTGTAGTTTAATTCAAGCCTGTCCAAGTAATATTTTGAGGAACTATGTACTGTACGTAAGCCAAGATTCATCTTGGAATCCACAAACACTCACTCATCAGACCTTCCACTTCTACTTATATTAGTCAGAGACATTATACAGCCGTAAGGCAAACATTGGTTCTATACATCCTCCTTCAGCCAAAGACCCAAAGCACCAGCCAGACATTCTCATAGTTTTTTTGAATTAGAGGAAAGGAAAACTCAGCTGCTCTATGCAGAAGGGGGAGCTTCACTTGGTTTGTAAAGGTCTTCAAATGTTTCACTGTAATGTTGGCTGTTGGATGTAGCTTACCAGGATGCCTCAAAAAGTCCACTGTAAGTGTGTAAACTATTTACATGGATCCTCTCTTGGGAGCAATTCTTCCAGGCCTTTAATCATGGTTAAGGTTTACATCAGCTTTGGACTTGCACTGGTTCCTTTTTACCCAAAACTCGCTAATCAAACTAGGATTGTGAAGAGACTGGGAATGCTTTGCCAGCACACTGGCCCAAGGTTCTCCCACGTGTCCTTGTTGCTTCAGAGGAAACAGATGTCATTGTCGGAAGCCGGTATGTCCTTGCTATGAACATTTCCAGCAGCTTGCTTCATCAATATTGGCACTTTCATTTCCTTTCCCCACACCACATTAGGGCTGTCCAACATTTTGATAGTTAGAAGCCAAATTACTGTACATTGTAAACAAAAGTAGTGGAGAGCAGAAGCTCTTACTACAAAATTAAGTAAGTTGATGACATACAAAATAGGGTTAATTATTCCCTACTTTGGTTTTAATGGAGCATCCAAACTATAGCTGAAAAGTAGAACTTCAGATATGAATGATCTATCTGCAAGAATTCTTGCATCAATGATACAGCTAACATGTTGTTATGATACATTAATGTTTTTACCAGGCATTGATACATTTGGGGATTTCCGTCTTAATTATCTACATCAGATTTGGGGTCTTCCAGATAAGACTGATGTGTACAACACAGTAGAAAGAATGCAGTTTGACAACACTTTAACTGCAATTGCTCAATGTTATGGAATTCTGCATTAATTCTACAGTGTAGAAACACTCTTGGACAGCAAGTCTCACTATTTCCAGATGATACTCCCAATCCCAGGAAAGGATGAGTAGAGTTTCAGCCTAAAATCTTCTGAAGGACCACATAGTCTTGCTCATTCTAAGAAACTGAACACACAATACATTGTAGTTAATGGGTGCTTGGAACAAACGGTAGGTATGAATCTTCCTTACATCATACCCAACCATAGGTTCATCTAGTCCAATGGGTTTCAACTGTTTTGACCCACAATTCCCAGAAATCCCAGCCAGTTTACCAGCTGTTAGAATTTCTGGGAGTTGAAAGCCAAAACATCTGGGGACCCACAGGTTGAGAACCACTGATCTAGTCTAAATTATGTCTACTCTGGCCCATAGAAATTCTCCATGTTCTCAAGCAGAAGTCTTTTCCAACCCTTCTCCTAAGATTCCCTTTGACCAATAGAGTGAGAATACAGTGAGACAAAAATAAAAAATACTTCATACCACCTTTAATCTCATTTTTTTTAAAAATCTCCTGCTACGCCTTTCTATATTACTGCTACGCCTTTCTATATTAGCAGGTTTGGTGAGCAAGGATTAAACCAGGGGTCAAACTAAGGCCCGGGGGCCAAAAATGGCCCTCCAAGGTCATTTAACCGGCCCTTGCTCAGGGTCAACCTAAGTCTGAAACAACTTGAAAGCACACAACAACAACAATCCTATCTCATCAGCCAAAAGCAGGTCCACACTTTCCATTGAAATACTAATAAGTTTATATTTGTTAAAATTGTTCTTCATTTTAATGATTGTATGTTTTTAAGTGTTTTTTTGCACTACAAATAAGATATGTGCACTGTGCATAGAATTCAAATTATGTTTTCTTCAAATTATAATCCAGCCCTCCAACAGTTTGAGGGACTGTGACCTGGCCCTCTGTTTAAAAAGTCTGATGACCCCTGGATTAAACAAACGGTATCAATGTAATTGTCTTAACATTTATTTGGATTGCAACAAGAATGGCTACTTCTGTATACTCAGGTCATATTGCATCTTCAATATATATTTCTTCCAACTGACAGGTCTAATCCAAATAAATCACAATAAGGCTATTTACGCAGAAGAGAAATGGTGGCAGAAAGGGACAAAGTGTTAACACAGATGACACTTTCGCCCAAACAACAGTGACACAAACAACCACATCGCTATGGGATGCGTGCATTCCTCAGGTCAGTTTCTGATGGATTCATGGAACCACCATAATTCATCAGACAATCACTGATCCAGACGACAGGCAGCCACAACCTCCAACGAAGTGAAATGTGAGGATCAAACAATATGACAGCAGTGCCACTTTGAAAATTACACCTGTCAGGGGTTTTTTTTTTGACAAAATAAAACTAATATGCACAATACCAATATTTATTTATTTATTTATTTATTTATTTGGTGCATTTATTAACCGCCATTCTCAGCCCTCTCGGGCGACTCATGGCGGTGTACAGCATAAAAAGGCAATATACAAAAAGGCAGTTACAAACAACATATTAGCAAAAACAGCAATACAACAATTAAAGTTACACTAACTAATCCGCTTCGTCTCATAATAGATTCGTAACCAATCTCGTGTTCCTTGTTCCATTCCAGTCATCTTTACCACATTATTATAGCACTTAATTAAATGCCCTCTCGAACAGCCATGTCTTAAGGCTTTTCCTGAAGGCCATAAGGGAGGGCGCCTGCCTGATGTCTGTAGGGAGAGTGTTCCACAGCCGGGGGGCCACCACTGAGAAGGCCCTCTCTCTTGTCCCCGCCAGGCGTGCCTGTGAGGCAGGCGGGATCGAGAGAAGGGCCTCCCCAGACGATCTCAAGGTCCTCGTGGGCTCATAGGCCAAGATGCGGTCTGAAAGGTATTTTGGGCCGGAGCCGTTCAGGGCTTTGTAGGCCAACACCAGCACCTTAAATTGGGCCCGGTAGCAAATCGGCAGCCAGTGGAGCTGGGAAAACAAGGGTGTTGTGTGCTCCCTGTATCCCGCTCCAGTTAGTAACATGGCTGCCGCACGCTGAACCAGCTGAAGCTTCCGGGCCGTCTTCAAGGGCAGCCCCACGTAGAGAGCGTTGCAGTAGTCAAGCCGGGATGTGACCAGAGCGTGTACCACCGTGGCCAAGTCAGACTTCCCGAGATACGGGCGCAGCTGGCGCACGAGCCGGAGCTGTGCAAATGCTCCCCTGGTCACCGCTGAAACCTGGGGATCCAGGCTCAACGATGAATCCAGGGTTACACCCAAGCTGCGAACCTGCGCCTTCAAGGGGAGTGCGACCACATCCAGCACAGGCTGTAACCCTATACCCTGTTCGGCCTTGCGACTGACCAGGAGTACCTCTGTCTTGTCTGGATTTAATTTCAGTTTGTTCGCCCTCATCCAGACCGTCACAGCGGCCAGGCACCGGTTCAGGACCTCGACAGCCTCCTTAGTAGCAGGTGGGAAGGAGTGACAGAGTTGGACATCATCTGCGTACAGATGACACCGCACCCCGAAACTCCGGATATGAAACACAGATATGAATGAGGAAAGAAGTCCTAGTCAATGAACGTCTACACCAGAAGCTTGAGGCACAAAGTGATAGTTTCTAAATGATTAGTTAGTTGGCAATACACACAGGTTGCGTCTGGATGTGATTATCACATCCAGACGCAACCTGTGTGTATTGCCAACTAACTAATCATTTAGAAACTATCACTTTGTGCCAGACTGTGGATTGGCCCATGTAGGGGTTATCATTCACATGGGCCAATTGTCTTAACAGGGCTTCACCTACCAGGCGAAACAGCTAACCCAAGAAATGAAGTCCTCGAGATCACTTTTTCCTAAACCATGGGTTCTGACCCCAAATGCGGTAACTCAATGTTGGGATCCCAAAAACTGGCAACAGTAAATGTTTTCCAAATGTCACCTAGTGACTGTTTTAGACATTCACATTAATGTGTTGTGTAGTGTTTATAGTTGTCTCTGCAGAAGGTGCTTCACCTATGCTTCATAAAAAGGAAAATCAGCCTGTTTAATAAGCTTTACAAATGCAGATTTGTTATCAGTAAATGCTTGATTTGTATACCTATTTTATATACCAATATACATGGAGTCATTTAAACATGTCTCAGGCCAAAAGGGATCCTGTGTGAAAAGGTTTAAGAAGCTCTGCTCTGGATGCTGCTGTGCTACAATTTCCATTATTGCACACTAACAGCTTTGTTTGCAAAGGCTGATGAGTGTCGCAGTCCACATCTGCCGACAACACCCCCACTCAAGAAATGAGCCAGGAAACACAAGTTTCTCTACAGATTCAGGCTCTAGTTTGTTACGTGTCTAACAAAGTAAGAAAAGGAAATCATTTTCAAACCTGATTTTACTGTTGAGGTGCTAATGATTGTTATATTGATGTTTAATGATTTACATTATAATTGTTTTTAATTGCCCTATATTTGTCTCGTGATGTTTTGCATTGATGTTGTTCACCGCTTTGAGTCACCTGAGGGCTGAGAAAAGTGGTATATAAATAAAGTAAATAATAAATAAATAAATAAATAAATAAATAAATAAACCCTACGTTTAAGTTCTGGTTTGTTAGGGAAATAAGAAACTACTAATTATTGTTTTTCTGTGATTTAGCTACTCCTGCTGAAAGAGGTCAGGTTGCTAACTGGAGCAAGTTACAGAGAGCGGTCAAACCCCAGTTTAAACAGGTTCACCAGCTTCCAATAAGTTTCTGGTCCAGTTCAAAGTGCAGGTTATCATCTATAAAGCTCTACACCAGTGGTTCTCAAGCTGTGGGTCTCCAGATGTTTTGGCCTTCAACTCCCAGAAATCCTAACAGCTGGTAAACTGGCTGGGATTTCTGGAAGTTGTACGCCAAAACACCTGGGGACCCACGGCTTAAGAACCACTGCTCTAAACGGTTCAGGACCTGCCTATCCGCATGACTGCATCTTCCCCTATAAACCCATGCAATCTCTAAGAACTTCTGGGGAGGCACTTCACTCGCTCCCACTCCTGTCTCAGGCACGGTTGGTGGGGACGAGAGAGAGGGCCTTCTCAGTGGTGGCCTCTCGGCTCTGAAACTCCCTCCCCAGGGAGATCAGGCTATCACCCTCCCTCCTATTCACGTTTTGTAAGGAATTAAAGACGTGGATGTTCCGTCTTGCATTTGATTAAACAATTCCCTTGACAGTTGGCCCTAATCCATAGCTTAAAATATTATGTCCCTGCAGTTTACTACTGCATTATTTAAAGTCATAATGCCCTTATTACAAGTGCTCTTATCCTTACGTTGCTACAAGATCTATGCACCTTATTGATTGCCTATTTTCTAACCTGTTGCACACCAGCCTGCCCTCCCACAACGTGATTTGAAGTTATGTCCCAGGTTTGCTTGAGGCACTGTCAGGCCATTATATGCTAATCAAGGTGGTCAGTTGAAACATTCACACCTAGCTCCAGCAGACAAGAGTCCTTTGTCTCACCCTGTTCATTTCACAGATATATAAACCCCTTTTTCCTAGTTCCAACAGACCTCACTACCTCTGAGGATGTTTCCATAGATGCAGGCGAAACGTCAGGAGAGAATGCCTCTAGACCATGGCCATATAGCCCAAAAAAACTACAACAACCCTATGTCCCAGGTTGTTGCTTAAGATGTTTGTTATTATTGTTATAATGTTGTTTTGTGTTATTGTTCTGTTTTGTATGCTACTAGCTGTCCCCTGCCACATGTTGCTGTGGCCCAGTCTGTGAATATATGTTTTGTGTGTGTATATATGTGTGTGTATATATATGTGTATATGTGGTTTTGCACATGCATTGTAATATTTTTTTTTATTTTTTAGCTTTTTAAGTCTCTTCTGCTGTGTTTTTTTCCAGAGTTTTTATGAGTGACGGTCACTTGTTGGCCTGATAGTGTATTGTGGTTTTTGAGTTATGTCAATCCCACAAACTAACATTACATTTTTATGCATGACTGGGCTTGGCCCTTTGTCAGCCGTCCTGAGTCCCTTCGGGGACATAGAGGAGGGGTATAAAAATAAAGTTATTATAAGGAAAGTGGAATCAACTCAGCTAGCGGGCATGGTATATGGTTGTGAACCATATACTTGAACTGTCAGCAATTCTGTTCTTCTATTACATTGGAACACAGCACCTGGTAATTTTTTCTCTTTTTCTGTCCAAACAGTTCTAGTTACCGTTGCTCCCCTTCTTCCTCTCTTATGCTCACAAATCATTTGCATCTCCTCTTTCCCTCTTCCTATGTTTTTGAATTAAATATAAAAGGTCAAGGAGCTGTGGATTCCTCCCCTGAAATCTTTTCCCTTTTTCTCTGATGCTCCCTTGTTTTCTTGTCCAACCTCAGGAACTAACTGGGCTGCTCTGCTATTGCCACATCTTGACCAAGAAACAATGGCCCTCATCAGCAAATGTTAGAGCCAAGGTTTCACTATTTCCCACACTTTTGGAACTCCTCAGCTATCATTTTCTTATCTGTGGTAATGATTTTCAGAAGAACAAAGAAAGATAGCTTGCAAAGTTTCCCCTCAATTTGAAATTTAACATTGGTTTTTGGCCTTGGCGTGAAGCTGGAACAAAAGAAAGTCAATAATGGCTTTAATCTTGTCTAGAGGTGTTTGTTTTGTTGCAAGGAGATCAAAGTGAATTGGCTACGAATGTCACTTTCCCTCCATTACTGCTCTTCGTTGTAGTAAAAGCTAACATAGAAGAAGACAGGGAAGAGATGACATTGTTGTTATTGTTATTTTAAAAAGGCTCTAAATGCATCTGTAATGCACTATCACCTGAAAAATTAGAAGCTATGAACTAACCTGTTGTACGTCCTGCTGAAAGACACAGAGCTGAAGTCGTTGATGTAGGCGGACCTTTCGATGCTGCCAGATGTTCTCCAGTTGCCTCTGGTGATGAAGCACCTCATGAATAACATCTAGGACATGGTGCACTGCCTTAGAGTAGTTAGCTGAAGCTGTTAGAGAGTCAGAGCTTCCAGGAGTCAAAGGCCGTTGAAGTTTGTCAAGTAATGACTTTCCATCTTGGCTCACCTGTTCAGCAAAATGATAAAAAAAAGTTGCTGGTTACAAAATGCAAATATCTACTATGAAAACTCTGTTTTTCCACCTCAAACTATGAACTAGTATATCATTACTCCACATATTAGAAAGCATGTTAGTACTTATTATGGCTGAAATTCAAAGAGCACTGTTTACTGAAGGATAGGCTGCAAACTACTGCTTTCAGTCACAATCAACTACATCAAATACTAGGGATTTGAGTCTAGAGATCTGTTAAGCTACAGAGCTTTAGGCACGGCTAGGAGAGAAGGCACAGGACTGTAGAGGTGACATGTACAACACCTGAAAGATCCCAGTCTCATGCATGGCACACAATATCTTAAACCAGAGTCTATATAAACAACGGGCATCTTCAAATATCCCAAACTGGTAAATTACTACAAACCTCTTCTTAAATAAAATTTGAGAAGACTGTCATAATGGCCCAAGCAATATGACTATCAACCTACAATATTAAACTTATAAGCTATTTCATACACATCTTTTCATCTATACACACAATAAAAGTGAAAATATGTATGTGTCTGTGTGTGTGGTTAGGGTGTCACTTACATAGACAAGCTTCTGCCTCCACAAACAACTATAGCTCCCACTACTCGGGAGAAACCAAAGGCACTCCCTCCAATGACAGTGCAGGTTATAGAGAGCACCGTAAACATATACAAATGCCCTGCCAATGTCCTCCACGAACACAATACCACCCACCACCCAAGTGAAGGCCTTCATATGGGAACAATTTCACCCTAGATGCTATGTGTTTCCTTCACCACAGACATCCCAGTGTTTCTTACTCTCTCCATTGGTGTGGAATTTGCATGACACCACCCACTGCCTCTCCCTTAATTCTTCCCTATTCTTTTCTATGGCACACAGCAAACAGAGGAATTGATCAGCAACTGATCAAGTTGAGCTCTTCCAGTTGATTCACCAGTAGAAGGACCAAAGGTTTGGGGAGAATTCACCATGATTTATAGGAGTTGTGGGTACTGGGATGCATAGTTTACCTGCAATCAAAGAACACCCTGAACTCCACCAACAATTGTTTTAATTGTTTTAATTAATGCTTTATGTATTGTTTTAATCAATGCTTTATGTATTTAATTATTGTAGTACTATTGTAATTGTTTATGTAGTGGCGTCGACTTGCTGCCAATGTAAGCCGTCCTGAGTCCCCCTTCGGGGGTAGAAAAGAAACAGGGTAGAAATACCAGAAATAAATAATAAAATAAACAATGGACCTGGAACTAACTTGGCACACAGAATCCCCATGACAAAAAAAAAAAAAATACTGGAGGTCTTTGGAGCAATGTATAGGAGTTGTAGTTCATGCAGAGCACATTATGAACCCAAACAATGATCGATCTGGACCAAACTTGGCATGCATACCTAATATGCCCAAATTTGAATACTGGTGGGTTCTGAGGGGAATTAGCCTGGACATTTTAGAGTTGTAAGTACTGGGATTTATAGCTCAGCTGAAATTAGTGAGCACTCTGAACTCCACCAAAGATGGAATTGAATCAAACTTGACCAGCAAAAAATACTGGAGGTCTTTGGGAAAAATTCACCTTGAGTTGTAGTTCACCTACATCCAGAGAGCACTGTGAACCCAAACACTGATGTATCTAGACCAAACTTGGCACACATATCTGATATGCCAAAAATTGATTACTGGAGGGGTTCGGGGAAGTTACCTTTCTTTCTTGTAGTTCACCCATAACCAGAGAAACTGAGACCTCCACTGATGATGGACCTGGACCGAATTTGGCACACAGAACCCTCATGACTAACTCAACCTACTGTAGAGGGTTAAGGGGACTAACTCACCATAGTAGGAATTGTAGTTTACCCTACAGCCAGAGAGCACACTAATCCCATTGATGATGCATCTAAAGTAAACTTGCCCAACATAACAAATGCATCACTTTAAGTACTGATGGAGTTTTTCGGGGTTAAACTGGCATGATGTGAGATTTACATGCCACAACGTTATGCATTTTGTACAATGTAAAAATTGACTTTTTCAAATAACCAGGGCAACACAGGGTATCCAAGCTAGTAAATTATAAAACTGTGAATACATGTTTAAACATTTGATACATGAATTTTGTTGGACAATCACAGATGAATATAGTAGCATACACTCAGCCCCCCATATCCACAGATTCTGTTCCATGGCTTGGAAATGTTTTTTTTTAATTAAAAAAAATCAAAAATAGCAAACTTTGATTTTGACATTTTATATAAGAAATACAATTTTATCACACTATTATATCTAATGGGACTTATAAGGTAATGGTATCAATGGAGGTCCTGGAACCAAACTCCAGTGGATAACAAGGAACCAATGAGGTTTAGTTATAATTACACTAAATTACATAGGCTAAGGAACCAAAGGTGCTAAGAGTGCTGCACTGCATTATCATGGAAAAGTGCCATCAATGGCAAATAAATTGAACTTGCCAGTTATTATCTGTCATTTGATAGTTACGCATCAGGCCAAGTATTGCAATCATACCACCGTGTCCCAGCTGTCATGATATCACTGAACATGAATATTAAAATATACTGCCTAAAAAGGTCTCCAGATGGTCATACGCCTCTGGCTGATTTCAGCAACAATTAGACCTAATAGGACTATTACCAGCCGGACGCATTCCAGCTTGAAGCAATGTTTTCCTTTCCTTCTGATGCCGCAACACCTATTAGAACCAAAATCTGTTAGTCTCCAACTATGTGAAGATACTCATCAGGCATTCTGTGTGAATTGGACCTGAGACACACTTGACGGAGATGGATGACTGCCAAGCACCAAGATTTCTTTCTGAATTCTGAAGTAACAAAGGAATCAAATCCACCCTAAAGTGATTTGACTTAAGTGTATCAGCATTTAGCTTGACTGCACTGAATGCATATTGCCTAAAAACTCAGTTTTACCAAGTTGAGCTCTTCCAGTTGATTCGCCAGTAGAAAGACCATAGGACCCTGTAACTCTGCCCATCTTTCTTCAAAGGACAACCAAATATCAAACATGGCAGTGGTGGCAGCAGTCATTTTTCACTCAGGAATCAAACCAATGCTTCAGTGAACACAATTATAGTTTAGTCAAGTTTTATCAAACAAGAGAAAAAATGTGGTTCCCTTAATCTTCATAGTTCCTATTAATGTTTGTAGAAATGTAATTCTAATTTATTTCCCACTGCACGCCAAGGAATGCAACTGACTCTGTATCATGATTGTACACATTTGTCTCCCTTCATTTTGAAGCACATACTAGGAGAATGAGGGCTGCTTCCAACAAGATGTTGCTATAATAGGGAGTTCATTTTTTAAGGAGGAGAAAAATTCTATCATGTTAACATTAACAAAAGAGCCCGACCAATTCGCTCTTTATACTACAAGAGAATATATGTTCGGTGGCTAGATAATATCACTAGGAGTTGATTCAGTTCAAATATTTTGAAAAACCACATTAAGAGCCAGATTCTTCAATGCAGAAAGACATAATGGTGGTAGACTGTAACATAGCTATCTTCCCAATAAGGTATTATTTTTGGAATTAGGAAACATCCAAATACCATCACTCCCATCTACATCCTTCAAGAGATGTCTTATATTGAACTACGGATCACAAGGTTGGTTTCTGCAATTTATTTTTTAAAAAATAAAATAATTTTAACATTGATGCAAAATCAATCTCGGCAAAGATTCTACAACAAGCAGTTAAATGTAATACTGTCTGCACATTTCTTTTTGAGATTTACTGCACCAGCAGTTGTCTAAGAGGCCAAAGAGAAGGAAGGCTTTTAAGATGGTGAAGAAACTTACAGGTGCGCCCCCGGTGGCATAGCAGGCTAAACCACTGAGCTACTGAACTTGCTGACCAAAAGGTCAGCGGTTCGAATCCGGGGAGCAGGGCAAGCTCCCGCTGCTATCCCCAGCTTCTGCCAACCTAGGAGTTTCAAAACATGCAAATGTGAGTACATCAATAGGTACCACTCCGACAGGAAGGTAATGGAGCTCCATGCTGTCATCCTGGCCACATGACCTTGGAGGCTTCTACAGAAAAATGCCAGCTCTTCAGCATAGAAATGGAGGTGAGTGCCACCCCCCAGAATCAGACACGACTAGACTTAATGTCAAGGGGAAACCTTTACCTTACAGATGGAGAATACTCTATTTTCCCTTCCCTTTAGAGCGCAGAGCAGTAGCTTAATTACAATTTCAATTTCTTCCTTCTCCTTCCCATATCCTCCCACCATTAAGCAGCAGCGGCCCCTTTGGGTACTTGACAACCTGCTGGGAGGGAGGAGTTTTGGGCAGAGTACAAAGGACTAAGACAAAGCTTTCCAAACATTTCATATTGATGACATAATTTTTAGGCTTCTATCTTTTCTGGCACAGTAATACAGTCTTACTAGCAAACCGGAAGTTAAATCAACCCCTTTAAGGAGATATAGATACAGTGTTCACTCGCTACTTTGCAGTTTGCTTTACATGGACTCGCTGTCTCGCGGATTAAAAAAAAGTAAAATATTTACATTACAATGGGCCTCAGAAAGGGAGTCTGGTTTGCGGCCCCTCGCATCCTGTCGCTTTTTTTTGCTCATTCCTTAATATATAAATACTATATAAATGTAAATAATGTATAAATATTACAATCAATGTAATATTTAATGTATAAATATTACAATTAATATAGCATACCTACTTCCAAAAAAAGAAAAAGATAATAAACTACATTTCCAAGGTTTTGGGAAGGGGAAAATACGAAAGCAACATACTAATTGGCACCTTTGCTTTGTGTAAAAATAAATGCAAATCGGTATTGCTTATTTCACATAGATTTGGAGGTTTCTCGTTACATTTGTGCGGTACACCTATTACACACTGCAGCCGACATACTGATATATTGCAACACACCATTTGGAAAGCTCTGGATTAAGGAGTAGCTCTACCTTTCCATCGAA